TTTCTTATGCCTAAAATAAATCCTCACTTAATACTATAATTCAATAATTCCCTAATCTTAGTTTTAATCCTATGCTAGTTCTCAATAAATTCGAAAGCCAACAAACAATACACACATATATATATATATATATCAAATTTAATTTTCCACACGTGCATTCTTATTCTTAAGGTATTTTGTGTATTTTCCTAATTACGTGGGATGTTACACCTCTCCTGAGCGTCATACGGAAAGTACTGACCCAAGAAGAAATCCTCAAACAAAGGCCACGTCATCACATGACCCTGCATCTCGTAGACATGAGAAAGGTTTGTCCACCACTCGTGGGCATCGCCCTCCAGCATGTAAGTAGCGAACATCAACTTCTGCGGATCTGTACACTGCATGACCCGAAATATCTTGTCCAACGCCTGTAGCCAACGCGCCGCAGCAACAGGATCAAAGGATCCATCAAAGGCAGGTAAGTGGCTTATGCTTACGGAAAGCATTCAGCCGGCGGTCGATCTCATCTCGATCCTCAACAAAAACAGGGACGGTCTGCATGGCCCCCGTAAGGTGACTGCCATCTCCCATATGACTCTGAGAGTCATTCTGCAGACTGGGTGGAGGTGGCGGTGGTGGCGGTGGAGGTGGTCGCGGAGGAACATGACCAACATCAGGGCCATTCCTCATCTCCTCCAACATGACTCTAAACATCGTCATGTTCGCCAGACGATTAGCCTCCAACACGTCCTCAGTGGCCTTCCTGTTCGCCTCTCTGACGACGTCCAGCATGGCCTGGTTTGCCATTCTCATGGCCTCCTGGTCGGCTTGTCGGGCTGCCTGCATCTCAGCCAATGCAGCCAGGACAGGATCGGGCCTATCCTCCGAAGTCTCGCGGTTTCTCCCGGGTCTTACCATGACTCTGCACAAGTTACAAAATTTATGAGTTGATCAGGCCCACGCAATGTGGTCACATATGCATTATCATAATAATACTCGACGGAGCAAACACACTAAACAGACACAACCAAAAATCCTAATCATTGCAATACATACAGGCTTTTCCCTTGAACCGTTGCTCTGATACCATAAAATGTAACACCCCGTATATATCCGGTAGTGTTATCATTACATCGTATTAAGCAGTGCTTAATTAAAAATGCGGAATATTCTTTTTCTTTTCAATTATGACGTCATTATCAATTACCAACTTGATTACTTAATCAATTTCATAAAATAACGCCTGTACATAAATTGCAATAAGACATCTACTGAAATACCTCAATATATAAATAAAGTGTGTATCTAAATCACGACATTACATCCCGTAATCCGGACAATATCCTGATACATTATTACAACTCCAAAAGACTCAAGACATAATCAAGACATAACAATACTATGTGTCATGGACAATCCCCATGCTCACCAAATAAACAGCGTAAACAACAAGTCTCAACATAAACTCCATAAACATAAACTGAAACTATAGGCATATAAGCAGCATGCAAATCCAGCATCCAACATGTCAGCATAAATAACAGCAAATCTAACTCAGCTCCGGCCTCCTGCCGCTTGAGGTCTCAACATTACCTGACCCTGAAATAAGCATTCCCCAAACGTGGGGTGAGATCTCTAAACAAGAAATCTCAGTAAGACAAGGGGTCCTCAAGGATCTTCCAACCCAAGCTCACTTACATTTGTAATATAAGTTCTAAAAGCATTTATATCATTATCAGTTCCAAAACTATGTAGTGCAACAGATATCTATGGCATGTGTGTCTATCACTACCTACTAGCCAGAGAAATGTAGGAATACGTCTATTCCCTACATGTAGTACAAGGAACACCGCTTGCACCTCACCCACAGCCTCACCCTATTGTATGTTCTACATACTCAGGCTTACCGTATAGGTGGAACACCTCCATGCATATCAACAAGGCACTAACATACAATAGCTCAACAGCATTTCCAAAACATCAAAAGCATGTAACACAGCATGCATATACCATACCCCCATGGGACATGATGGAACCACAACATGGCTAAACCGAGGACACGAAAGCTTACCTCTAAGCTAGCTATCCAATGCCACAAGCTCAAAGTCCAATCACAGCAGATCACAATTTGATATGGACCAAATATAAATCAATAACTTGTACCACATGCATACAAATTAAAGCAAAGCCTTTTCATTACGTTTTATGTCTCTTCTAACAAAGCTACAAGCCCTTAATCACATGATTCTGGCTTAGTCCACTAATTACAGAAGTTCAACTTCATCAATATAGGGTCCACAAACCCCCCAATAGCCTACTGTACACATAGCACAGCTACTGTTCTACGAAATCCTAGAATATCCGGATATTCCTCGGGACCATATCCGGTTATCTCACTGTCCAAATCCGGATATGTAATATCCGGATATACAGATTCCCATATCCGGATATCCAATATCCAGATATCCCAAAACCCCATATCCGGATATCACATATCCGGATATCATATCCGGATATCCAATATCCGGATATTCCACGGGCAGATATCCGGATATTTCACGACAGAATGCAATTTCTGCATTTCGTGAAGATATCCTTCAAGGTTGGGTTTTTACCGATTTTAAACACTTAAACATGCATTTCTAGGTGTGTTAAGCATTACCCAACAACAAGTTATCATCTTTCAGCCTTAACATGCATCAAGCTTCCATTTTTAAGCCTTAAAACTCAAGTTAAAGGGTGGTACAACATACCAAGGCTCAAAACTCAAAATGGAGATGCTCTTGGAGCTCAACACATCCCCTTAAGTTTGACTCAAGGATGTGCACGAAAATGTACCACAAGATGACTCTTTTCTTCACAAAGATTGCTCCTTGGAGCAATGACAAGGCAAGAACAAAGCCCCTCAACACTCTAGTCAACAAGACATCCCTCAAGGTACTCCAAGACAGCCTCCAAACTCAGAAAATAGCTGGTCACAACCCTCACAAAGCTCACCCTCACCCCAACCAAGTGTTTACAAGAAGAAAAGAGAAGGATCAATGCCAAAGGTCCCAACTTGGCTCAAGAGAAGGTGAAGGAGACCAATGGAACAGTGCTCAAGCAGCTGGTCAGCCTCTCTCACGAAGGAAAATCTGGTATCTAGGGCAATGTGCCCTTAGTAAGTGTATAAATAGCCAACTCACACTTAAACACGCAATATTAGCTTTAATTGCTACGCTTAGCATTTTAATCTCAAACTTTGGAATATGAAACTACACATTTTTTCAAGAATTATCATATTTTTATGATATTTTTCTGAGCACCTTTCCGGTACGCGCTTTTCATAGCCAGTATCAGTTTCTGGCACCAGTTCTTATTATTTGGACTTGAAACTCGTTTTACAAGTCCTAAATATTATTCTAGTAATTATCATGCACTTACATTAATTTTTCGGGATACTTTTTCGGTACGCATTTATACCGACTAGCAGAACCGGTATCTGCACTTTTCTTCCGAAAAGAGACTTTCAGCATTCTTAATCACTTACCATGATTATTAAAGCCTCTTAATAATTATTAGGGTCAATTAGGGAATCATTTCCTAATTTTGCATAATTAATTAATTAAATACCTTAATTAACGGTACGGGTTCTTATAAATACCACACATGACTTTTTTTCAGTCCATTAAAATCCTAATCGAATACCAATGGATTTTTTTGTCAGAAAACAATCCAATAAAATCATTTGAAATCCCAATTTACACCCCCCTATTATTTTGATATTAAAATATTTGAAATTTTTATCATTTTTTATAGATATTTGAGTATTTTTATAATTTTTTAATATAAATTATAAAATTGCATATAATTATCGGGTCATGCGACTGAACGAGGACTCACTAGTTGAAATGACCGAACGGTTTTAATAACATTGATCCTGCTCGTGTAGAGTGTTTGGTTTGCATTTCAATATTAACAGAAGGATTTTTTTTTTTTTTTTTGTAATAACAGAAGAATTTTTAGATTATATAATAGACGACGACAATAGACAAATATATAGATAAACAATGATAATCCAATTAACTGACAAGAAGAAACATTACAGTTAACAGACCAATTTACTTGTTATGATAATAAGGAATAAAAAATAAGGCTGCTACAAGTTTAGATGAAAAAGAACAATTTACTTGTTACTTGTTATGATAAGGAATAAAAAATGAGGCTGCTACAAGTTTAGATGAAAAATATAAGGGCAGTGTGAAAGCGATATTCAATTATATAAAGGCATATAAATGCCACCGAGCACATGGATTGACTCGTAAATAGTTATGTTAATCTAAATAAATAATTTAATTCATCGATTCGGATTAGTCCTATTGTCAATTTAAAGAGTTAAAGTTTATAGAAATATTAAAGGGTTGACTCACTTCAAAAAAGTAATTATGGTCAATATACTTAAAAAAAAAATTAACTATATTATTGCAACGTTAAATTCTGTCTACAATCCATCACATAATTTTTAACAGATTTTGGATATAATTAGCCCTAAAACAATAATTTTATACGGCACTATATTTCGATTTGGGTTGATATTGATCTGGATGAACCCGATGAGTTTATCTATCTAATTCAATATAATACAAAACTTTTGAGTTGGGTTGAGTAATTGTGTTGATTTTTGTTCAACCTGACCAACAAAACCTAAAGTGGTTTGGGTATTGAATTTTGATTATGAATTTAAATTTTTATATTTATTTAAATAATTATTTGTATATCAATATTCAAATATAAATTTAAATAAATATTTTCTAATTCTAGACCATGTCGACATCCAGAGACTCCCAACCCAGGCAGGATCCAAAGCCCTAAACTTTGGGCTAAAGCTACTTGATCTAGCCCTTTGCCTAAACAAAATGTTTGCTAGTTAGTTCATGCTAAATTAACAAGGGATTTCTGCACACCAAAATTTCAGCGTTATATTATCCCCCTTGTCCAATCACTGGTCAATAGAAATTATGGCGCATACAAAGCCACTGCTAATCATTCATTCATATATGTTTAACACAGTTGACAAATTGATCAAATTAAAAGAATCCTGTAAGTTTCTGATATGCCCAAAATAAAACTGTTAAAATTAAAATATAACTAAAAACAGAACCTCCATAGAAAGGTCGAAGGAGCAAAAGATTAAAACTACAAAATAAGAAAAAAGAAGAAAGATACAAGGGACTAAAGACCAAAATTCAAGTGTTTAATGAGCAGATGTCTTCTTGAAATCAATCTTGTCAACCTTAACCTCTCCATCAATAAGTTCATATACATAGACCACAACACGCAGACCATCAATGTCCATGAGGACAAAACTTGGGTTCACATCATAAGTGATGCTGCTGTAGGCACCTGTTGCAGAACCTGGATTTATAACCACACCACCCTCATGTTTGTATGCTGTAAACTGATGGGTGTGACCTGTCACAAGGATGTCCACATCAAGTTGCCTCTGCAGCATTGCTAGTGAGTCCAGGTCTCCCCATGGAATAACCTTCAAACACATTAAGAACACAATCATCCCGTATCAATACATAATAATGCAGAAATTTAGGTTTTTATTTGACTGAATTAAGTTACATAACAACCCTATCCCTCGTGGAAGACAGCTAAATAAAAACAAATTCAAATTGTTCTATCTGATAAAATGTGAAAACATCATCAAAGAAGAGATGAAGAGACACTAGTTGAACACATACGCAAGCACCATAAAGGGCCACCATGAGATCAATCATCTAACTTAGGTTCAACTGTTCAAGGTGTTGCAAGGTAAGCTATAGGAACGACTTCAAATTCTTCCCAAAAGTTTGTTTTTCCTGTTGCCTTATTGTCTATAACTTTGATCAAGAAAATCCAAAGTACATTACCCTCTAATAGCCAAGAAAATCCTAAACCGTTTACTTGCGCATGCCCACAAATATCTATAAATGAAGCGGAAAAAAACAACAAAGAGTGAAAGAAAAATCAGACCTGATGACCATGACATAGTCCAAGCTTAAATTGACCAATGGTTAGTGTTTTAGTCTCTGGATATCTCGTCTCTTCATCGTACTCACCACGAGTTATATGCAAGTCTGGACAAAGAGTCTTCAAGTAGTCATGAACTTCCTAAGAATAATTTACAAAAAAAGTTAGCTTAGAAATCCAAGCATTAAAATTATAATATCACCAAATTCGAATACTAAAAAAGTATATATATATATATATTCTCACTTAATTCCACAACATACAACTTGATGAAAAAATTCCATTTTTAATAATATGAAAGAATCTTCACTTTGAGAGCTAATTCCCACAAACCATTTATGGAAATATTATAAATCCTATTAAAGTTTGATTCCAATTAGCATAACTGAAAGGAAACCCAGCTAATAAAGAACCAACAAAAGAAATTATAACTTATGTTTGGTAGAAAGTGTTAGAAAGTGAAAAGGAGGGAAATAAGTTACAAATACACTAAGCTTAGTCTAAATACATGAATGATTTCCTCTTTTCTCTCCAAACTGAAATTAGAAAAAGCTGCATGACATCGGCAGTTCATCCAAGCGAACAAGGCTTCAACTTCACAGTATAATCCTTTGGGTTCTGTGGTTCTTTGAATAGATATCAAGGGCAGGCTTCAAATCTTAGGATATTGTTGAGATATATAAAATCATTTATGTAACCTCACCCAACAGCTTAAGCTTTTGGGTTGAATTGGTTCTTTACATGGTATCAGAGCCTCGTGTCCCGGGTTCGATCCTCGTCGCCCCCCACTTTCTTTCAAGTGGAATTTCTTTGTTCGCACAGGTAGGTGAGCCTGTGCATTGTCCACCCTTCAAGCCCAGTAAGCTCTCGTGTGAGGGGGCGTGTTGAGATATATAAAATCATTATTGTAACCTCACCCAACAGCTTAAGCTTTTGGGTTGAATTGGTTCTTTACAAATGTGGGACTATATATCTCAACACGCCCTCTCACACGAGAGCCCATTGGGCTTGAAGAGTGGAAGATGCAACAGGCCCAGCCTACCTGTGCTAAGAAAGTCCACAAGAGAAAGTGGGGGGCGGCAAGGCTCTGATACCATGTTAAGAACCTTGGGATACACCACCCCAAAAGCTAGCTCAAAGGGTGGGAGTGCCCAAGACCTTATAAACTCCACATTAGTTGCACATACAACCAATGTGGGACTCTATATCTCAACAGATATAGTATTTAGTTTCAATACAAGGTAATTGTTAAGTCATCCAACTTTCAAGCTATGATTTCTGTAGGATATCTGATAGAGACTTCCAACCAAACACACAACCAACAACAGAGAGCAGGGGACTTGACCTGATAAACTGGATTCTGATATATTTATGGAATTCAAGAGACAATTACAAGCTAATGACAGTACAACAGTGACAACAATTACAATAAAAAGGGAAATTAACAAGAGCTGGGAAATGAAATAACAAGGCAGAGAAAGGTAAAAAGAATGTGAGACAATTGGAGAGGCCTCACTCTCTCCCAAGGTTCCACTTCCAATGCCAATTCCAAATGATTCCTTCTAGCACCCCCCTCCACTACACTTAACCAATTCCCCCGTAACTACCTTGCTCTCCCACGGCTCCATTCTGTTTTGCTTAGTCAGCACCCTCACATAGGCCAGGTTCTACGTAATCAGCATCTTCACTTGGGTCAACTTCTGTATTTGGGGCCCAAATCCTTCTATTTTTATTTCTACGGTACACTTTCGATGGTGGGTTTGTATCAATATCCTTGAACTTTTAGGAAAAATATCCCATCCCTAATTCATTGGGATCAATTCTGATATTTCACTTAATAAGAATCAATTTTGTAATTAGTGTCCGTGGAAGCATCCTCTATATATTGAAATCTGTATATATACAGAGTTTTTGTTTGGGATCAAGATCACATGATCCCAAATTCATCTAGCCATAGTCACGGCTGAAAATTAGACTGAGGAGCATCAAAGATATCTTGTGCAGTCATTATCAAGGATGAAAATACCCTCTGCAAAGCCCCAACCAACAAGGTGAGGCCACAAATCACTGCAAAAGCCACCTTCCAGTCATCCTTCTGAGCACCGTTACTAAAAACCCAGACATGCACCCTTACGCACCGGTCTATGCGTGCCTTCTCGTCGATGCGTGTATACCACGCGCCGCCTTCGTAAAACAGCACGCCGTTGGTCCCATTCTTCTCATCAGCTCCTCCCTATCTTGTTCTAAGCCTCAAAACTGCAACCGTAAGCCCTTTAGATACTGGATCAGATACCCCTTTTAATATCTTCCATGGCTTCCTTCGATAGCTCTTTTGCGATGTCCCTAGCTCTGAACTTGTAAATTGGAGAAAACTTGTTCTTTTAGATCACTAGTCACAAGCTGAGTGGGAAGAACTTTCTCCAGTGGCCCCAATCAGTCGCATTGGTCACATAAGGAAGGGGAAAGATGGGTTATCTCACCGGAAAAATCAAAGAACCTACTGAGAATGACCCAAGATACGAAAATTGGGAGATCAACAGCTCGATCATGAAGGCATGGCTGACGAATTCCATGGAATCACAAATTAGCCGCACATACTTATTCCTCAAAACTGCCAACAATAACTAGGATGCTTTCAAACAAAATTACTTGAACTTGGAAAATGCCTCTCATGCCTCTTATGTCAAGGAGGTTTGATTATTGACGAATATTATGATGAATTGAAAAAGTTGTGACAGGAATTAAATCTCTCCTATAAAGCTGACCTTGGAAGCCTGGAGGCTAATGAGATGAAAAGATTTTGATTTCATGGCTAGCCTCAATCGAGATCTTGATGAGGTGCGAGAAAGGGTACTAGGACAACAAACATTAGCTTCTGAGAGAAGCCTATAAAAGAAGAGTCATGCTTGGGAGAAAGAGTCATCAGCTCATATGAAAAAAAAAAGACAATTGACGTGTCTACTTTAAACATAAAAGGCACCCTTGATAATGCCTCCAGACACCAGAAATGGGATGGTCGGCCATAACCAGGACAACTGTTGGGATATTCATAGAAAACCATAAAATGGGAAGCCTAAGGGGAAAAATAGAAGTTAGGGATATCAAATTTCAATTGAAGACAAGGCAGAAGAAAATCAAGACCCCATTGAATCAGGTATAGTCTTCCTTGGTAGGGTTCAAATTGAACAACTTATGAACTTCTAAATCAAACCACTGGTACCCAACCTAGCATGGCAACCAGCAATCAGCCCACCAAGATACTGTCTTTCCTAATAATAGTAATACTCATTGGATACTTGACTTTAGGGCCTCTGATCACATGACAGGTAACTCGAGATCATTTTACTCCTATACCCTGTGTAATAGGTACTCCTGAGTAAAAATAACAGATTGAAGATTTTCCCAAATTGCTAGGAATGGGTCAACTAAACTCTTCGGGATGATTATGTTACACTCTGTTTTGCATGTCCCTCAATTAGCATGTAATCACATTTCTATTAGTAAAATGACTTTGAACTTAATTGTATTGCCAAGTTCTCAATAGATGATTTTGATAGGATACCACCTCTAAAGGTATATTCTAGAAGAAGCTGAGTCAGCAAGGCAGTTAGAAGCTGTTAAGATATATAAAACCATTAATGTAGCCTCACCCAACAGCTTAAGCTTTTGAGTTGAATTGGTTCTTTACAAGGTATCAGAGCCTCATGTCCCGGGTTCGATCCTCACCGCCCCCACTTTCTTTCTAGTGGAATTTCTTTATTCGCACAGTTAGGTGGGTCTGTGCATTGTCCACCCTTCAAACCCAGTGGGCTCTCGTGTGAGGGGGCGTGTTGAGATATATAAAACCATTAATGTAGCCTCACCCAACAGGTTTAGCTTTTGAGTTGAATTGGTTCTTTACAGAAGCAAATGAGTGGAAGGCAATTCTGTTAGTGTCACACATGAGAAGCAATACTGGAATGAAGGGAAAAAATTAGTATAAATAGGAAATAGTAGAAGGATGGAGGTATCTATTGGACTTGGGACTTTTGGGCACCTCTTAGGTGATTTGGGAGAGACTAGAGCCTCTCCAATTGCTCTAGAACTATCATTGTTATTTTCTGTTGAGATATATAGTCCCACATTGGTTGTATGTGCAACTAATGTGGAGTTTATAAGGCCTTGGACACTCCCACCCTTTGAGCTAGCTTTTGGGGTGGTGTATCCCAAGGTTCTTTACATGGTATCAGAGCCTCGTCGCCCCCCACTTTCTCTTGAGGAGTTTCTTAGCACAGGTAGGCTGAGCCTGTTGCATTGTTCACGCTTCAAGCCCAAAGGGCTTTCGTGTGAGGGGGCGTGTTGAGATATATAGTCCCACATTGGTTGTATGTGCAACTAATGTGGAGTTTATAAGGCCTTGGACACTCTCACCCTTTGAGCTAGCTTTTGGGGTGGTGTATCCCAAGGTTCTTTACATTTTCTCTTTTTTAATACTGTTAATTGTCTCTTCCATTATTGTCACTGTAATTTCCCATAACAACATATTGTTCTTGATTTGTTTCTGTATTGGAATTGTTGGTCTGTATCAATTGGTATCAGAGCTCTCCGATCTAGGGAGGGTTTTGAACCACATCAGTCAATCAAAAAAAAAAAAGAAAAAGAAAAGAAAAGAAGAAGTAGAAAAAGAAGATGGAATACAGATCTGAAGATTGGAGGAAAAGTGAGATGCAATTGGAAAATAGATTTGAAGAATGGAGAAAAAAAGAAAAGCAAGTTGAAGAAAATCATAAGGAGATACTTAGGCTCCTTGATGAACTTCTTGAGAAGACCAAGCAACTCTCTAGAGGGCGATCAACAAGAAGGAGCGACAAAAGATTTGAGAAGAACAAGACAAACGAAAATCTGAATCGATTTCAACCAGAAGCATTAGAGGATCCTTATAAAGCATTATACTCGCTTAAACAGAGCGGATCGGTGGCTGAGTTCAGACGCTAGTTCGAGAAGATGATCAGAGCTTTGCGATTTGAGGACGAAGAGCTGCTTAAAGGGGCATGGCTCAATGAAGTTAAGAGTAGCATTCGCGAAGAGTTGATGATGCACCCTGCTATCACTTTGTCGGAGATGATCAAATTCTCCTTGAAGATAGAGAAGAGGAACATGGC